AGATCAGGTACGACTGTATCATAATATACGTGTATATATTTAAAAGCTAATAAAATACACTCACAAACACATACAGACACTCAAACAAACACACACACATACACACACACAAAGACAAAAACACACACAACACACATATACACACTCAGTTTGAAGCCTCTGAACCAGCTCCTCAGGTCTGTCTGGAAAGGGTTCGGAATCCTCACGTCCTCGAACTCTTTACCCCCGGCTGCAAGAACCAATCGGATCAGTTCTCCTCGACCCCGGAAGTCAAAGTAATACAACTTGACCTTTGACGTCGCCATTATGGTTTTCGGGAATGCCACTGAGATGTGAAAAAAAAACCCCTGAAAATTTACGAAGTTGCATTAGCGAACAAAAAGATAGTAGCTAGACACAGTTAATATGGGGCTCGGGCAATACAAAAAATAAACGCTCAGAATAATTTCTTTTTAAAAAAATAATGGAAATAACAGGGAAAAGACAGGAAAACGGCATCCCAGAGATCTGTTTGAGAATGGTGCAGTGAAGGGGAGAGATGGGTGGTGGTTTGGGGGGGGGGCATGGTTGGGGTGAGGTTGAGGGAAAGGGAGAAAGGTACATTTAGTTTGGATGAATGAAAAAGAGAAAGGATTCCTAGTGTGTATGTGGGAGCGGGTGTGCCCATGTGTACGAATGTCCATTTTAACGGTGTAGGGCTACCAAACTTCCCCTTTCCGTTCCTTACACATGTTATGCACAAATGACATACAAAAGTACGCACAAACACTCACGTACACATGCTCGTAGACACATATCAAGAGACCTTCATTATATAATGTAAAAAAGGAGACAGGCAGAAGTAAAACACGGTTAAAGAAATAAAAAGAAATATGACCTACCAGTAGCGGGTTTACTCCAACCATCAGCTTGTTTGTTCTGGTAAACTACAAAGTGTAACCTATACATTATACTTGACTTGCATCTTGTTCCCTCAGCAAAAATCGATACTAAAAGAACAATTAGAATTTTAGATTTGAATTAAAGCGTAAAGTTATTACATGTACTCTTCTGTCGAGGACCAGGGAACAGCGACTTAACAAAGAGAATACACCTCGTCTTTATAATTTATAGTGGTACGTGTATTGATCATGGTATCGACATTCAAACTCAATGTTTTGTGGTGTTTTTGCAGCTTACAGATAACGTTAAAGGAGACCTAAGTTCGATTCCGGAGTGGGGATACATTTTTATCGAGAATCTCGGTCTTTCTGATGGGATGTTGTACATGTATCCTTCTCAGCAGAGGTCAGAAGCTCGTCTCCCGATTGATCTACATTGTGTCGATGGGGATGTAAAAACACCTACATTACAAAGAGATCAATGGAAACGGACTCTCAACAGGCCACATTAAAAAAGAACATTTTTAAAATAAAGTAAGAATAACCAATGAAAATAGACTCTCAACAGGCTCAACAGGTTACATTTTTAAAAAGAGAATTAATCTTTAAAAGGTAAAGTAAGATTAGTAAGAATGATCTATGGCACCAAACTCTCAACAGGCTTGGAATTGGAAGTGCTCTGGTACTCGAATTCTCCTAACAATTCATTCTTCTTGTGTCAGCTCTTTATGCTTGTAGGTAGTGAACGGGTTCCGTCTGTCCTGGTGATGTTAACGATGATGATGATGAAAGTGAAGTAAATAAATGAACAAGTGAATAAATAAATTAATTAATTAATAGATACTAAATAAGTAAATAAACAAATAAAAAAAAAAATTTTCCTCAATCTTTATATTCAATTTTATAAAACCTGTCCGTTGGGTTAAGTTAACATTCGAATAACTCATTAAAAAAAAACAACACTTTCTTGTAATAAGTGATTATACATTTATTATTACCTCACTTTTTATTAATAAAAAAAACAACAGAATAACAGAAGAAAAAAAAAAACCTTGACTTTCTGCTCCCAGGCACCAGGTACTCCTCCGGTCACAGGTGTGTGTGTTCTCCCGCCGCAGTGTTACTGGACAGTTAGTAGCCTACCGAATGAATACAGCTACTGACTCCCACCTCCCCCCCACCACCCTCGCCTGCCCACCCCTTTCTTTTTTCTTTTTTTTTTACCCCAGTGAACATTTGAACTAGTCACCAATATTTAAATTTGCACACCCACCAGATGCTCAACGTATCACATATATTTATTATTATATAACTTCTGACTACTCCCTCCCAGTCCTATCCTTGGGTTTGTTTTGTTCTGTATTATTTTACTGCGGTGAACATTTAGAACTCGTCATCAGTATACATGTAACAGTATGCACACTGGCACATCCAGAAGCCAAGCATATGTAATAAAAAACGTATAAAAATAATTTCAATATAATCTTTTTTACATTACACACACAATATATATATATATTTATATATATATATATATATATTTATATATATATATATATATATATATATATATATATATATATATCATATATATATATAAATAATCAAACCTTATTGGTATTGATTTGTTTTTCCTTTGACTTTTGTTTTGTTTTTTACCATACGCTGTGAACATTTGAACTAGTCATCAGTATGCAAACTGATACGTCCTGAAACCAAACATTACGTACAGCGGATAGAGTGTCCGTATCCGTATCTCTGTGACACCCTGTCGCAATGGGCGCAGCCCTCTTTTACTTTTACCCAGCGCATATTGCAAAAAAATATCGTCAAATCCTTTTTCGTAATGGTTTGATAGAGTTTAGCCGTTAGGTGCTTCGCCCTCGCACACAAGGTTTTCATTAAGTATCTCGGTCTTTCTGCAGGAATGTTGTACCTCTTCTCAGCCTTAGTTGGGGATACAGAGGTACAACATCCCAGTAACATACAAATAAAAGGAGGAGGGGAGATAAGGTAGATTGTTGTTTGAAAGGAAAGGAGGAGCTTACTGCATCAGAGCATCCACCAGCCACCCACACACAACACTTGATACAGAACAGTTCAACATTTGCGCTGAAACAGTAGTAGAAGGTAGCACTATTTTGCATCGGGTCTGAGGCTGAAAGCTCATTAACTGTAGAACTTAGATTTATGGCACTTGCAACACAATAAAGTCATAAGTGCTGAAGATTAGAGGTGTTACAAGAGAGTAACAAACACCAAAAAATGAGGAGGAGAGAAAAGGACAATTACAATAGTTTTTGATAGTTCAGAAAGAAGGAGCAAACCACACCAGAGCACCCGCCAACCACTCACAACTATAGGACTGATGTCAACAATAACACCAATATCAACAACAACAACAACAACTCAATTTGACATTGTATTTTATTCATTGTCTTATCTGTCAATGTGTGACACTAGCGTATAAAAAATACAGGTACATGACATCATAGAACCAGTGACAACAACGATACTGATACTATTTCCCATGAGCGAGGTATCAAAGAACATGATTGTTTTTTGTTTTGTTTCGCTGTCTTATCCTTGTTCTCATTTAAGTTTTTAGTAAGAGTTTTAAGGCACTTTCAACACAAATATGTCATCAAAGTGCTGAAAATAAGAGGTGTGACTACAGAGCAACACACAAAGAAAAGGAGGAGATATTAGGACGATAGAGATGTTTGATAGGAAAGAAAGAGCAAGCCTCACCAGAGCACCCACTAACCCACCCACGGTTCTCACTTGTGTTGGAGATGGGTATTATTAGGGATTTTTTCATGTATTAGAGTTGTGAAAGGCTTGCAAACATCAAAAATCAGATTGATATCATTTTTGTATAGTGTAAAAGTAAAACGTTTTCCAAGTCATGTCCTGTCCACCTATCCATCTAATCTTATAATCCTCCTTATTTTTGCCTGATCTTCAAATGCAAGAAAAAACTTTTGACTGAACATTTTTCCCATTTACAGCTTTATTTTAAAGCATTTTTCTTTTTAATCAGTGAAGCAAAACATGCTTTATTTGTTCTGAGCCAAAAAGCGAAACAAGTGCATTCATACGCTCGTACATGTTGCAAACATATATATACACAATCATGTACCCATAGTGGTCACTAACCAGATCGGAAAAAAATCTGATGACAGCTGCCTGTATTTTTAAACATTTAATTTACATTCTTTAAAAAAGATGGAAGATCACAAAACGACCTTAGCGCAAAAAAATAATTTTTTTTACTCACGGGACACAATTCGTACCAGATGAAATTGGGTCCTCTTTAAAAAAGGTGGAATGTTTTCGCATGCAACAGGTTTAAGTTTAAGCTTAGGAATAGATTTATAGGAATGTAAAAATGGAGTTTATTTTTAAGAAAACAAAAAACAAAAAAATACGTCACAGAATGCATGCATCCTATGCAACTGGTCACACTCTCAAACGACAAACATGAGAAAAGAGAAGGTTACACTTTGTACACATGAGAAACTTGAAAAGAAAAAAAACTTCAAAAAATGTACCAAGCATACTGCAGCCATACTTAACATACAATGCAAACATAATCTACTCAAAATGATATCATATATACAGCCCATGGTCAAAAACCTGTTTGTGGAACGAAATGGGAATGAAAGTGGGTAAAAGTAAACGATTCAGCTTAAATGGAATGATAAAACAGGCAAAGAGGTCACAGGACTATGTACAGAAACTGCAACAAGCGAGGAGAAGATCTGCCGGGTGACAACCTCAGACGGATCTCTTCAGTTCTGCCAAAATTGTTACCAGTCCATTAAATAAAATATGCAAGTTCAAGGATATGCTGTGTACAGCCATTAACTTTAACACTTTGCCATCAAATTTTGGGGAAAATCCAAAGAAACTGAGTGGTAAAAATCGCTAATCGGCGAGATAATGCAGCAAAGTGTTAAGAGGACAAAATTACTTACAAGTACCTGCACTAGCATCGTCAATGGCACTAAAACCCTGTGAAGAAGATCTGTCTATACAACTCAAATTTGCAAATTTGTTTACAAAACTAAAAAAAAAAAAAATCACCCAAGACTTTACAGTGATATTGACTTGAAAAACTTCATAACTGACTCCCTTACAAGTTAAAATATGTTGCGTAATTTCTCATTTTAAAAAGTCACTTAAAAAGACAATGCTCATTCTCAAACCCAGTTCACAACATCTCATTTGACATCAAGAAACATTTTTTTCTGTCTTTGTCTATCAAGTAAGCAGAATTTTTTAGGACACAACTAATTATACACCAAATTGGACAACTCTATTTCTTCCTTTCACAGGTCACAGACAAATAAGATTCTACTCCACAAAACTTACTTTTTATACTTTAGACACCAAACAAACCCCTCCATTCTTAAAATTGTCGATTTTAGTTTGTCTCTTTTTAAATAGACTTTTACTTTTTCCAGAACAATATTTTAAAAATATGACAATAAAGCAAACAACGCTGGAAAATAAACTAAATCAAAACTCGAGTAAATGCTACCTCCCCTCCGATAACAGCACATTTTTTTTCTTTGGTTATTACAATGATACTTATATACTCTTATAATATGATGCAGTTTGCATTCTCTCGTACAACAAGATGTGGTAAATTGTGCAATTCCTCCATTAAGTACCCGAAATGTCAAAATAGCATTGAAGGGGATTAGTGAAGATCAAGTCAAATAAAGTAATTTCCCCAAAACTGAAATCAAACAACTGCTTTTCATCTTAATTTAGTTTTAGCGAGAGTTTTACGTAACTTGCAACACAACCGTTTTTTCATTATATTACGACCACCAACGTTAGAGGAAACTTACGGTTTTACAACAAGTAGTAAGCCTGAAGCTACAACTACAAGTCAAGGAACTCTTTAGGGGGAGGTTTCACAGGCCGTGACGGAGGAGGGACAGGGCCAGGGGGGCCAGAAGGGCGGGGTCCCTGTCTCTGCGGGGGGCCCCTCCCCCTGTACTCCGTGTCTGAGTAGTCGTCAGCGGAAGACATGTCGTCTCTGCGAGGAGGGGGTCCTCTGTTGGGGGGAGGTCCTCTGTTGGGGGGAGGTCCTCTGTTGGGGGGAGGTCCTCTGTTTGGGGGAGGTCCTCTGTTGGGAGGCGGGCCGTAACCTCTTCCCATTGGTGGCTTCTCGTCGTAGTACTCGTCGATTGGCGGCTTCTCGCTGCGGGAATCTGGCGGGGGAGGTCCGTACCCTCTGTCTGGTGGCGGTCCGTACCCTTGGCCTGGTGGCGGTCCGTATCCTTGGCCTGGAGGAGGTCCATATCCGCCCTGTGGGGGCCTGTACCCAGGTTGTTTGAAGCCTTGGTCTGGTCCCATGAAAGGTGCTGAAAAATGAAAAAAAAAAGAAAGTTTTATGTTCAGGTCACATCAGTAAACCCTTACAGCATCAGGCTATTTTTAGTCCTCGCTCCCCTCTGGCCGTACCAATACTATTGTCTGCAGATTTTTGCAGACATCAAAAAAAAAATTTTTTTAAATTTTTAGTGCTTTTGTTTGAAGTTTTAGTAGATAACACATAGAATATTTTTGATAGACAATTGAATGGAATGCAGTAAAAATACCCGACTGGGCTGGGAGAACGAGAATACATTATAAGGGAAATGTACATGACCAGGGCTATACAGGTTAATTGGCGACAGAGTGAAAAATAAAATACCCTTAACCTGAAAGAAGTAGCTGAATAGAGTAATTTACCATTTACAAATCAAATTTCTTATATAATATACTCCAAAGAGAAGATAAAAAAAAAAAAGAAAAGCCATTTGCTCAACAAACGTGAAATATTGAACGAACTATAAATACTCAGGTTTTGCAAATTATAATATACGTCAACTATCTCTCTCACTCTCTCCCTCACACACCATAATCTTCAAAGAAATAGCAATCTGGAACAGGAAAAGCTGCATGTAGAAAAATGCTATTTGCACATTTTAAAGTAGTCACACTTTAGGGTACTTCTTTTCAAAATATCACTGATTTCAGCTACTACTGTCAAAATTTCAGATCGCTAAACTCCATTCACAACTCTAAACTCCTCCCCCACCCTCAAAGCCATCCTGTAGTTTTAGTTTTAGTAGGAGTTTAGTAAGACTTTTACAGCACCTGCAACACAATAAGGTCATATTATAAAGTAAGTGCCGAAGATAAGATGTGTTACAAGACAGTACAGTAACAAACACAAAAAAGAAGAAAGATATTTGATAGGAAAGAAGGAGCAAACCACACTAAAGCACCCACAACACCACCTCACACAGGTTGAGAAAATAAACCTTATGACACCCTTCACAGACCCCAACCTCAGGGCTTTCCTGTCGTATCTCCATTTTTTTTTAACAGTTAAAAAGTGACTTCTTCTTAAGCTCACTCTTTATTATAAACTGTTTTCACTGTTATTAAAAATGGAGATACGACAAGAAAACACTGAGGTTCCGAGATGGTAAAACAAAACTTTAAGGCAGAATCTTGACAACACTCAAGACTTCTCTTCTCTCACACAACGTACCTGGTCTAGTGACAGACGACGGGGCCACGGGGTAGTGGGAGTGACGTCGGTTGTGGAACAGCCTGGGTCCTTTGGTGTAGCGCGCTCGGCGCCGATGCCACCAGCAGGCCATGACCACCACCAGGGCGGCCCCAATTACAGCTCCCACGATGCAACATCCCACGATGATGCCCATTCTGAGGAGGAAAAAATACGAGACATGCCGACAAAATCTCGGATTTTAACTCAACGGACAAAGAGTTTTAGTTTTAGTAAGAAATTTACGGCACTTGCAACACAATAAGGTCATATAAGTGCCGAAGATAAGAGGTTTTACAAGAGAGTAACAAACACAAAAAAAGAAAAAGGGGAGATAAAGACGATAGATGTTTGATAGGAAAGAAGCAAACCACACCAGAGCACCCGCCAAACACCCACAGAGTAGAGATACCGGGATGTCAAATTTATAGGTTAAGTTAGTTTATATAATTTATCAAATAATAAAAGATATGCTAAATTTATCAGCATCTGTGGTGTAGTGGTTAGGTCCTTCACTGTCACATGCAGGAAACCCAAGTTCAATTCCAGAGTGGCGAGAAATTTTTATTGAGTATCTCGGATCTTTCAGCTGGGATGCTGTATCCCTTTCAGCCTGGGTTGGCCCTTACTGGCAGGGTCGGATGCCCGTATGCTAAATAATCTAAATTGTGTCGGTGGGGGTGTAAAAATACCTACATTTTATTAAGTATTTAAAAATATTTACATTTAACACGAACCCTCAACGATCAGTAAAGAAAATAGGCACAAATTTTGTATTTTCACGTCATTTAAAATGGGTCACAAATCACCTGTAGGAAACAGAATTCAAGAAAATAAATCGAATTTTATGCAAGTCTGACCCAGGTTTTTCGATGAGCAAAAAAACTGGTCTCGCTTTACTTACGGAGCACAACAGTGTCGGTTGAACGAGTTTCCACAACAGTCCCAGAAGCAGTCGATGTAATCTGGCTGTTGGCTGAAGTAGTGTTCATACTTTGCACAGCGCCATGCCTGGGCACCTGGACAAAAAAAAATTTCAAGTCAAATGTAATTTACTGCTTAAAATTTTTTATATTAGTTTCAGTAAGTTTTATGGCACAAATCAGGGGTCAATTAACGGAAGGATTTCCATAACGAGAAACCACTATAAAACAGTGTAGAATAGAAGGTTAGGGTTTGGAGTAGGGGTAGGGTTTGGGGTAGGGGTTGGGTCAGGGTTAGGTCTCTTCTATTAGTCGAAATCTATTGTGTATGTTGGGGTGGTCGCTGGTTACGGACGTCCTTCCCATTTAACCAATTCAGCCCACCGCGGCGCTCACAGCAGCTGACTGTCTCCTGTGTTTTGATGCAACGCCACTCAGGGTGGCTGTAATATATTGCTCGGCCACCTATATTCTCACTCCAGGTGAGAATAGCTCATGACCAGATATTTTCACCCCCACCGCGGGAGAGGGCATGAGACGAGGACTCACCCCTGACCTCTCACAGGTCGATAAAATCACCTTAGGCCTAGGCTCTAGGTGGCTTGTACCGCATGTGGTTGGGAAATGACTCATGACTGCTTGGCACTTTATTGTTTCCCCATGCTTCAGGCCACCAACTGATTACCATTACCATAATTTGTTGGGTTTTTTAAATCAAACAGTCTTCTTAAAATTAGGCATTAATTACGAGTACCGGTAGGTATCAGGAAGAAAAATATATTCTGCTCTTAACATTTCATTCTTGCATATAACCATAAGTGCAGCTCGTTTCTTTTTTTTCCCACTGATGTTTGCTGTTCATGGTGTGAAATGACCTTCACCCAGCCCAATAAATTTAACGCAGTGGATATTTCTCCGAACGTTCGGTAAAATAAAGCTGAACTCCATTTCTGCGAACGGATTCCGATCTCGAGATTTCTTTGGTTATTTGCGAGATTAAGGCGTCATCCTTTCATTCTGCCATTCTGCGAGGACTGGGAAGAAGCATTTTTTGCATCGAATTCAATTTCTAGAGCTAGACATTTTTAAAAGTCTGAATATTCAGATACTTCAGTTGTGGTTGGGGCAACATTCCCGGACTATACTTCATTTGAAAATACCTCCAAAAGGTACTGCGAGAAAACAAGACTAATCGACCTTGGCAGTAACCGATTTTGCATTAAGTCGCCCAGCAAAAACTAAAATCCTTCATGTAAAAAACCCCCCAAAAAAACCATGCCCCCCCCTCCCCCACCTAACACACACATACACACGCACACACACACGCACACACACGGGCCACTCCATTCCCTTTTTATCAACAAATCTCGAGAACAGAAACCGTTCGGAGAAATAGAGTTCAAGTTTATTTTCCTGAACGTTCGGAGAAATAGAACAGGCCTAAATTTAAAACTTTATCTAAACCTGAAACTTATCTAGATCTAGACTGCACAATTTATTCTTTGTGCTGTTCTGTGTGTGTCTGTGCTATAGGTTAACTTAACTGTGTATAGTATAACACACTTGATGGGTTGAGGTAGGGGGGGAGGGTGAGAATAGCGAGACACAGGCTGTTCTCACCCCTGGTGAGGATAGTCACTTCCACTGCCTTTCTTCACATCACTTTTTCTTCTCTTTCTTGGCCTACCACTTACATTTCAACCCTTTTTTCGGAAGGACTTCCGTAACGAGCGACCACCCCATCAACACAATAAAGAAGAGGCCTAACCCTAACCCTAACCCAAACCCTAACCCTATCCCTAGATCTACCCCTACCCCTAGCCCTCAATTCTGCTCTGTCTCTGTCTCATAGTGGTCGCTCGTTACGGAAGTTCTCCCCTTTTTTCTGCTGTCATTATCATTGAATAGTATTTTTTATTCCGAACATTCCTATATGCCACACATAGGGTTTTAACTCACGTCGAACTGAGCTGTCCGTGCCTTTTGTGGGCCTTACACATCTTCATGGTGGTACCTCGTAATGGCACAGAATTCAATTCATTCCCCCTACCCTACATTCCTACATCCTACAAATTCAACTCACTTTAAACAACGAGCAATAGCCTACGTGACAGATTAAACAGAGCTCGAATGTGCACGTTTAGGCTACCCACTAACGGATGAAACAACAAAAGATGCTGGGGTTAAAGTAGATCTATCTTATAAACAACATCCCAAGTTTCATGACAATTTGCCTTCAAAATACGAACGCGGAAGTCAACATCCGCCAATTCCTTTCACCTGTGTTGACGACTTCACAACATTCAGTTTTTGTACATCTCTTTGGTTGGGTCATCATGCTCAATCTGATAGTATTTAAGTCATCATGTACGTAAAGAATATGGACAGACAAATAATTCGTGGTATAAAATAAACAAACAGCTCACCTGCGACAAATATAAAGAGGGCAACCAGGTGAGAAAACACCTGAGCCGCCATTTTGAATGCAGTCCTGTACGGGATTCCCAGATTTTTCACGCAGTTATGAAAAGGGAAATAATTCTGCAATGATTCGGCCCGGTTTAACTCTCGGAATACGGAAGGCTTTTTCTTCAGAACGCATCCAATTTTGTCATCCAAGTGCCACATAGTTCCATTCCTGATTAACCTTTAATTATTACTTAAAATAAACTCCAAACTGAGCAGAAATGAATGATCCAAGCAATAAACATATCTGATTTGAGAGGTTTGGCTATAGTTTGGTAAATTCTTTTAAACCTGACCTGTTTAAACAACCGAGAAATGCTGGAAACCAGCAAAACTGGCGCTAAGAGTTTAATTATTATTCTTGACACTGCCCTGTTGCTTGTGAATGAGATTTAAAACTTAACTGCAGGCTGCAGTCTTTTGTCTTTTGGCACCTTGAAATCTCAAGGATATTTTTGCTAATTATAGGAGAGCCTCACCAGGAAGAGAATGTTGAAGAAAAAAACTATTTGTAATCTTGATCTCATCCTTACACCGGTGATAAGTTTTATTACAGTGTATTCAAATGAGGCGTCGTTAGATTATACCAGAGACCTAGCAACGTAAACAAAGCTAGGTCTCTGATGATATTCACAGGTTTAAAAAAGTATATAACAAGGTGAACTTGGTCTCCTTTTGTAAGACGACTCATAGCCATCATCACAATTTTGCAATTCGCGACGGGTTTTTTTTTCTCATGTTTTTTTTTTTTTGAGTTTAAAACATATACATTGTTTATTATTGAAACTCATGGTGTGTGACTTTATGGCAATGGTTTTAGTACGAGTTTTACGGCACTTGTGACACATAAGGTGCCGAAGATTAGAGGTGTTACAAGATAATAACAAACCTAAAAAAGAAGGAGGGGAGATAAAGACGATAGATGTTTGATAGGAAAGAAGAAGCAAACCACACCAGCCGCGCACCCGCCAACCACCCACGACAATGGTTTGATTCACTGACAACGTTGTCACCAGTGCGAGCCTTGGGGGTATCGATCAAACGCCTACTCTTTTTTTTATATATATCACGCCATCTCATATACATGGTATAATAATAATATGTGTCGGTGGAATCAGGCGCTCGTCATTTTTATTTTTGGCATGTGGAGTTACTGGTATCATCTTAAAGCTGGTTCAGTTGTCTTGCATTTCGATTTAAAAAAAACCCAACCCCAAAAACAACGTCCATTTATCTTGGATACAAGTTGAGATATTGGTAATTGAAGGAGGTGGGGGTCACCTGGTTTCAGAGGTAAAATTTGCAAGAAAATGGCCTCCAAAGTTTAATTATTTCCTTACTTTTAGAGTCCGTGGGCACTGATAATGTACATTTCGTGTGCCCTTAATCAATGCTTTTCAATAAAATTCATACAGAAATGTGTTCTTTAATTAACATAGAAGGTGTTGGGCCAAAAAACAAAAATTCGATAAAAAATTCCCAAACCTGCTGGAAAATGCCAGTTTCT